AACCAGTGGCCCTGCTGCTCAGAGCTTGTGCTCCCAAGCCAACTCTTAACCAACTGAGCCACTCGGACGGCCCTCTATTGATTTTCAAAGAGAAAGAGAAAGAAATGTTGATTAAAATTAACTAAATTGATTTCACAACACACACACACACACACACACACACACACACACACACACACACACAGAGCTAAGATTAGGCTCATCCTTCTGGGTTTAACTTAAAGTTGCTTCCTTAGAAAAACTTTTGCTAATTCCCTAGCCTACTTTAGGTTTCCCTCTGAATGACAGAGCTCTGTTCTTTGAGAGGAGAGGATGTTTGAAGGATCCTATATCACATAGTTATGCTTTTGTTTGATTTTGTGGAAAGGTGGCTGCAATGGAGGGTCTGATTCTTGTCATTCCCTCAGCCCTTGAGCCTGTGTTTTTGATTACTGTTTTGTTAATGCTAAAGGGGAAAGATTTAATACAAACAGGTAAGAAACTTTTGTGTAATTTTATAACTTTTGTTAACCTTGTTTTTAATAAAGAAGAAAAACTAGTAAAAATAAGCTTGTTGTCTTTGATTAAATTTGCCAGGATATTAAATTAATGTGTTTTTTCCTGAAATGAGACCATTTAAAGTATTGGACATAGTATTCACTTGTCTTATTATAAAGGTGTCATGTTTAGTCACAAGCAGGGCCTGTATTGATAAAATGTCACAAGTTCAAGGCCAGAGAAGCAAGAAACTAGGGCCAATTGAATCAGATTAAGTAAAGCTAGCCAACTAGTGATTCTACTGTTTCTTCCTCAGTTTACCCCCTTCTCTTTTTCTCTCATTCTCGTTCTGTTTTTTTGGCCCTTATTGCCCTTGTGTTACATCTTAACCACTTTCTCCTCTGGGACTACTTTCGTCTTTTGATATTACGATGGAAACGTGGTCTGTTCTTGTTTTTTTCAAATGTGAAAATACCCTCACCATAAGACTGATGTTTTCCAGTCCCGGCTCTGGTGATCCTGGGCAGCAGTGCCTGTGCAGCAATTCTTTTTATTTTTATTTTTATTGTTAGTTTCAGGTGTACAGAACAATGCAATAGTTACACTTTTCACCCTCACAAAGTAACAACCCCCCTCCCCCCATCTA